GGATTGACTGTTTTTTCTATAAAAGCCAAATATCTAAAAACAATTTTTTTTAATTACCTGAATACGAAGGTAATGGTCTTCATCAGAACGAAGAGCTTGGAAAGCAACAGAAATATAATAATCAACCATATCATCACCACCTTGAGTAAAAACATCAATAATTGGATTTGAACCTCCATTAGTTAGCCAACCTAAGATACCCCATTTGGCTGCCATTTTAGCATTAAATTTATGTTCCAGTTTTGCTGATCCAGTGCCTATTGAAATCACCAAAAACCTTCCATGATCACTGGGTTTTATTGGGAAGAAATCTGGATTTTCCGCATATATTTGTTTGGTAACTTCACTTGTAGCAATAAGGGTCTGTAAAAGCAACCAAGTCATATCAATTTCTGACACTATACAAACTTTGAGTTAATTGGCTAGCGTTTGAACGTAGATTTGATTGAAACATGAAAAAATAAGTTTTTGAAGGCAAGATGAAAAATGATTTTTTAAAGTTGAAATTGTGTTTGGACATGTATTTTACTTGAAAAGAATTTGAAGTTTTGTGAGTATAAAACTTCAAAAACTACTCTAGAATTGTTTTTGGGATTTGAAGATTTTATTTTCAAAATCTGCCAAAAAATGATTAAAATATATGAACAAACAGATATTTGAAAACAAGATTTGAAAAAAAGCTCCCAAATTCTATGGCCAAACGGGAGCTTTCATTCACTATATACATTCACTATTTTACAACAGTATTTAGTATTTTTTTAAAGTAATTAACCTTTACTCATACAATAATAAAGTCATAGAATTATTTTTCTTCCTATGAAAGTAACGAAACGTTACATATTATAACAGTAAAATCACAATACTTTTTTCATTATAACAGTAATAAAGTCAGGTTGATGAATACATTTTGTTTTTGTAGCGAGTAAAGTTTAGTAACTTTGTTGTTATAATAGCTAATGTTCGGATATTTTAATGCAATACAAACGATAGTACTGTAACTTTATTGTTATGCGGTAGGTAAAGTTTAGTGAAGTCGACATTATATATAGTGGGTAGATTTCGGTTACTTTAATGGGACAAAATTTTTTACTGTTATATTAGTAGATAAAGTTCAGTAATTATATGTGAAATTAACCGCAAACCGCCTGATCACATGTAGAGAAAAAGAAAATAGTTGTACGTACTGGATTGTTAGCTGCGATTGCACCATCAATAAGATTGAACTCATGAAAGTTGCCATCTTTGTCTTGAGTCTGGAACTGATGTGCAGGAAGATATGTTGGAGCAGCAGATGTACTGATGCATATATCTGAAAGCTTAGCATCCATTAATGGATTTTTCCTAGCCTGCAGTTAGCATTTCAAAATTAAACATGTTAATCATTCTCTATCTGAATTTTTTCCAGAAAAATATTAAAGATTAAGGACCCGTTTTTACATAGATTCCCAAATATTTTTTGAAAAAGCTGATCCGAGTGAAGTTTAATTTGAAATTGAAAATGCGTATGGACATAAATTTTGGGGCAAATTTTACATGGTAAAAAGTCCCCTTTTCCAGTAACTCTTTTCCTGGATCTTTTTTTTACATGTTATTATTATGATACCAAAAATCCTATCTTTTTTTTTATGTTCTGCAACTTTTTTCCTGGATCAATTTGGACTAAATATGCGGTCCAAATTGAACCAAACGTTTAGGCATGCCAACTTGTTATGCCCAAAATGACCCGTCAACTAATATTTTCATGCATTAAATTTGATCCCCCTAATAAAAACTGATAAATTTGTGAGTATAAAGTTGAGAATATAAAGTCAAAATTCTAGACAAAAAACATAGAGCTCAATAAAGGGAGAGAAAAGGACCTCATAAGAAGAGAAAATTGTGGGCTGCATATTCTTGATATCAAAAGTTGGAATAACCACATTAGTCAATGTCTCATGCAAATGAGTCCCTCCTAGTTTCTCTTTTATGACTTTGTGAAGATACTTCCCAGCATACTTTGGTCCTGTTGCTAATTTCCACATATTCGTAATTGTACCAATTCCAAACCAATTCCTAAGATCATGAGAAGCAAAATAAAGTGTCAGTCCTAAGATAATATTAGTGCTTTAACAAGAATTCCACATTAAAAAAAAACTTACATAGTATTTTGTGGGAATATCCTAGGGCCATGCTCAAGATAGAAAGGCTTTATGTCTTTAGCAGCAAATAGAGGACGTTTGTCTTTGTTTGGAGCTGCTAGCATAGCCGTGACAAGACCTCCTGTGCTTGTTCCTGCAATTACATCAAAATAATCTGCAAGCCTCGCATCCACACCGTCCAATGCCTATTCTTTCAAATTTTGAATTTGATAAATGGTAAGTTATCTATTATAAATAAGGGTAGAGAATCGAAAACATCGGAGAAGTGTAAACTTCACCTGGAGTTGAGATTCAAGGAACTCAAGAATGGTGCCAGGAATTAGTCCCCTAATTCCACCTCCATCGATGCTGAGAATGGTGATTAAATTGCCACAAGTTGGAGGCTGATGCTTGAAAGAACCAGATGATGGAATTGCCCTCTCCATTTTTGATATAGCTTAGTTTGATAAATTTAAGAAAAAACTTTTTATTGATTTTCAGCAAGGTCGAATCATCTATTTATAGAACTTCCCCACCATGTGAAGTTGCTTCTTCAACATGCAACCCAGGGATATGTTTTGGGGACCCACATGTTTTAATTTAATTTTTAGAAACCAATGAATATGAACCTGTCAGGAAGAGGAGTTTAGGAACAACGATAAAATTATTTTAGTGTGACCTATAGTTTACAGGTTATAGTCGTGGAATCAGCTACTGATGTTTGCATCAGGGTAGACTGCCTACATTACACCCCCATAGAATGCGGCCTTTTCTCGGGTCTTACGTGAATACAGAATATTTTGTACACTGGACTGACCTATAATGGATATGACCGGGAATATAATTAGAACCCGTAAGACACGTCTTAAAGGATTGATGCAAATTTTGGGACTCATTAATTATCTGACGAATATATAATTGAATTTCCTTGTAGAAAATTTTGATTGGGACGAATAGTTTAGCGACCATAATATTCGTTATTATAATCATCCCGGCTAATTTAAATTCACAATATATATGTACCATTAAAGAAGAAAGTGCTTCATACCATAAATATTTTTATTGATATGGCTCGAATCAGATATCTCTAACTAACAAAGTTTGATGATTTTTTTTTCTAAACTAAAATATCCTCCAACCTAAACAGTGTTGTTGATTAATTTCTTTCCCACGCCCCTTACTATCCATTTATCCACTGATTTTTCTTGATAAGTTCCATTAAGCGCACTGTTCACATGCAAAATTCTTTGTACTCGTAATTGCAAATGGTATTTTTATACTCTATAGTTGCAGATGCGGATAAAAAATTTGAAGTTTTAGGTTTTCTATCGCAATCTCAACTTAATATACAATAATAATTAGATTCACAGTTAAATATTTATAGATATTTAGTAAATTTCTTAATAGAAATATATGATATATGCAAAAATTACTGTATTCCTCAAAACCCATATATAATGATTTAGTCCACCCAAAAACATTGACACCAACCCGATCAAATGTGTAACTTGCCCTCGTTGAATTTACAAATATTGGATTTTGTCTCAGGTCATTTTTGTTGGGAATTTAAAACACAAAGAAGGGAAGTTGAGAGAGTATTTTGAAGTCTGTCAAATTGCATAAGAAAAGCTATAGTAGAGGCCTTTTAAATAGGCGTACAACCAACTAACTTAAGCTAAAAATAAGCAACTAATAAACAAAGTGGATAAAATGCTCCCACTACTTCTACCATTATCATCCAACTAAATGATCATGCTAATTAACTGAACAAGTACTAACTTTATAGATGCTAAAAACTAGGAACTAAATAAGCTGTCACTTTGAAGCATTAATCAACACACCCCCTTGCTTCAAATCTTTTCACTCCCATTTGTGATCTGAAATACTCATACTTTCCAAGTGCTTTGGTTAGAATATCAGCAACTTGCTCATTTGTGCCGCAATGCTTTCAGTTGCTACCAAATTTCGGATGAAGTGGTACCGAATGTCGATATGCTTTGTTCTGCTGTGAAATGTCGGATTCTTTGTCATCGCAATAGTTGCTTTATTGTCACAGAAAATTTCAGTTGTTGTAGCTTGCTCTTGAAATAGATCAGCAAGTAACCTCTTTAGCCAAACTGCTTGACAAGCTGATGTAGTGGCAGCAATATATTCTGCTTCAAATGATGATAAGGCCACAATTTCTTGCTTCTTTGAGCTCCAAGATATAACACCTGAACCAAGAGAGAATGCATATCCAGAGGTACTTTTTCTATCATCCTGACAACCTGCCCAATCACTATCTGTGAAACCAAATAATTTAAAATCTGACACATTAGAGTACCAAATTCCAAAATCAGCAGTTCCGACAACATATCGTAAAATCCGCTTTACTGCCCCAAAATGATGCTTTGTTGGGTTATGCATGAATCTGAAAATCACACTAACAGAAAATACTATGTCAGGCCGTGTGTGCGATAAATAATTTAGACCACCAACTATGCTTCTAAAGCATCGAGCATCCGTCAAATCCATACCATCATCTGATATGAGCTTCTCATTCACATTCATAGGTGTAGAAGCTATCTTACAACCCAACATATTGAATCTCTTAAGAAGATCAGTTGCATATTTTCTTTGCGAGACAAAAATGCCATCTAAACTTTGTTTAATATCAAGATCAAGAAAATAGTGCAACAACCCCAAGTCCGTCATTTCAAATTTTTTCATCATGAAAGACTTAAATTCAGCAATAAGTGATTCACAAGAGCCCATATAAATCATATCATCTACATAAAGGCACACCATCAAGAAATCAGTTTTACCTTGCTTCTTTACATAGAGAGTTGGCTCATTTTTGCTTCTTTCAAATCCATTCTCCTGGAAATAAGAGTCGATTTTGCTATACCATGCTCGCGGCGCTTGCTTTAGGCCATATAAAGGTTTCTTCAACCTGTACACTTTACTTTCATGTCCAGTTACAATAAAACCTTCAGGTTGAGCAACATAAACTTCTTCTAATTCTCCATTTAAGAAGGCAGACTTGACATCAAATTGGTAAACTGGCCAAGGGAGTTGAGCAGTAAGAGCTAAGAGAGTTCTCACCATTTCAAAGCATGCTACAGGGGAGAATGTTTCATCAAAATCAACTCCTTGCTGCTGTGCATATCCTTTTGCAACTAGCCGAGCTTTGTGCTTCTGAATAGTTCCATCAGCATGGTACTTCGTGCGATACACCCATTTCAGGCCAGTAAGATTCTTTCCCTCTGGTAAGTTAACCAACTCCCGCGTTTTATTCTTTTCGACAACATTCATCTCTTCCACCATTGCTTGTTGCCACTCTTCTTTTTCAGCTGCTTCTCCATAGTGTATAGGATCTGAAACAATAAAAGCAAATTGACAAGTATAAATGTCATTAGAATATCTGAGATTTGGTCTTTTGTCCCTGCTTGATCTTCTTGGAGGAATTGGATCTGCTGGAATTGGCTCTTCTGAATACTCGCCAAGTGTTTCAGATATTACTGGTGCTGAAGGTTCAGCTACAAGTATTTCAGGTGCATTTTCAAGAACCACAAAATTTGCAGGTGTTGTAGTATTGCTAACATTTCAAGCCCAAATTTCTGCCTCGTTAAACCTAACATCCCTGCTTATAACAACTTTGCCACTCATCGGGTTATACAGCTTATATGCTTTGGATTGAGGACTATAACTCACAAAAATATATTTTTCTGATTTCACATCAAGTTTGTGACTAGATGGAGAAGTATCCAAAGCATATGCTAAATAACCAAAAAAATTTAGATGGCTTACCCGTGGCTTCCTGCCCTTCCAAGCTTCATATGGGGTTCGATTCATGACTGCTTTTGTCGGTGATATATTAAGAAGATACACTGTTGTTGCTACTACTTCTGCCCAAAACTTTTTTGGAAGTTCTGTTGCTTTCATCATGCTTCGGGCCATTTCCACCACCGTTAGATTTTTTCGCTCGGCCACTCCATTTTGCTCTGGTGTGTGTGGTGCAGTCAATTCCCTGTAAATACCATTTTTCTCACAAAAATCATCAAATTCTTTAGATGTAAATTCACCACCTCTATCTGAATGAAGAGCCTTTATAGAACACCCACTTTGCTTCTCTACAAATGCCTTGAATTTTCTGAAATTCTCAAAAGTTTCAGATTTGAATTTCAAGAAATAAACTCGACTCATTCGACTATAATCATCAGTGAACAACAAAAAATATCGACTTCCACCTAAGGATTCAATACTCATTGGACCACAAACATCAGCGTGCACCAATTCAAGACAACTAGAAGCCCTCCAAGCCTTGTTTACAGGAAATGAGTTTCTACTTTGCTTACCTTAGACACACCCTTCACAAAAATCAAGACCATCAATTTTAGGCAACCCAACAACCATATTGTTTTGACCCAATAATTTCAGCCCTTTAACATTCAGATGACCATACCGTAAATGTCATAAATTAGCGCCACTAGCTTTAGCAACTAAAGCACAATTCTTCACACCAGATATATCTAAAGGAAACAGTTTATTTTGTGTCATAGAAATGTTGATAATATTTTGCCTTGAGTTCTTATCATAAACAGTGCAACAAACATCATCAAACAGAAGAGAGTAACCAACACTCATCAATTGGCCAATACTTAACAGATTATGGGCTAAATTAGGAACATATTGCACATCATGTAGAAGCTTTACATTACCATGTGTGGTTTTGATGGCAATTGTTCCTTTCCCTTCAACCTTCATCGGCTTGTTGTCTCCAAGTCGGACCTCACCTTTTTGGGACTCATCAAGTTCTTTAAACAGTGACATCATTCCAGACAAATGGTTTGAGGCACCACTGTCTATGAACCACACTCCATTAAGGCCATCATTGATAGGAGATTGGGTCATGAATAACTTACTCCCCTCTTCAACTTCCTCTGTGAAATTTGCTTGCTTTTGCTCTGTGAAATTTGCTTGCTTTTCTTCATCCCTCTGCTTGGTCCAGCAATTAGCTTCTATGTGGCCCAACTTCTTGCAATATCGACATTGAATGTTGTTTCTGTTTTGACGCTGATCGCCAAATTGGCCTCTTCCTCTGCCGCTGCCACGACCTCGACCACGATAGCAACCTCTTCCTCTGCCTCGGCCACCAGAAAATTCTGATTTCACTTTGTAAAGAGGCTCCCCCTTCACCTGAAAAGCTTTCTCGTCCACCTTTTCATAAGACCTACTGATTCGAACTTCATGGGCTAACAATGAACTCATTAGTTCATCAAAACTGTAAGTAGATAGGTCCTTAGATTCTTCTATTGCAGCAACAACATGGTTAAACCTTTTTGTTAAACTTCTCAACACTTTACTTACAACAATTTCATTGTTAACACTTTCACCATATGTTTTCATATGATTAACAATTCCAGAAACTTTAGACATAAATTCTTGAACATACTCTTTGTCTTTCATGGCTAAAGTTTCAAATTCACGACGAAGTGTTTGTAATTTCAC